TACACACACACACAGACACACACACACACACATCCACACACACAAAGATCTTAAATTTCAACAATAAGAAACAAAAGCTTAAATTAAAATAAGGGCAAAAGATCTGAACTGAAACTTACCTATGAAGATACACAGAAGATGACAAAGAAGTTTTTGAAAAAATACTCAACAGTATTTATTAGGGAAATATAAATTTTAAAAAATGATATTACCATACATCTACTAGAATGGCTAAAATAATTTTTTAAAAGTAAAAAATATCAATTGCTTGCAAGATTAGGGAGTATAAGGAATTCTTATTCAATGCTGGTAGGAATGAAAAAAATTGTAGTTACTATGGTAAGCAACATGGCAGGTTATTACAAAGATAAGCATAAACTTATCCTACAATAAATTAGTGGTAAACCTAGATATTTATCCAACTGATTTGAAAATCTACATGTGAAAGTAACATATTTATATTTTTGATTGTCAACAAAGTAACCAAGATGTCCTCTAACAGGTGAATGACACAAACGATGACATGTCATACAATGAAATACCATTTAGAGATAATGAATGAAATATTATTTTACACATCAACCTAGAGTGTGTCTTAATTGCAAGGGAAGCAAGTCAGTCTGCAACAGCCACACACTGTATGACTCTGTTTGTGTGATAGTCTGGGAAAAGCAAACTGTAGAGATGGAAAACAGACTATTGTTGCCAGGAGCTTGGTGAGGGGAGAGGGCTGAAAAGATGAAGCACAGGGAAATTTCTGATGTGATGAAACAGTCCTGTATGATATAGCAGTTGTGGATTTATGGCACTATTTTTGTTGAAACCCATAGAAAATTATAGCACAAATAATGAACCTTAAGCATACGTGAATAAAACAAAATGAAATAGGGAATTGGATGACCTTAGGGATAGTTTAGAAAGGGACAAAAGAATTGAAGGTAGCCTCCCTTATTAGGGTTGGGGAGAATTTACCTAAGTAATTTTGGGAAAAAGTGGATACTCTAAGGACGAAAGCAGTGAATTCTAGTGGTAATGTTGCTTTTCATGGGGTTTGGATAAACAAGTTACATACTGAGTCT